TTATCTATTTCTTCTTTCAGTTCTGCTGTTTTGTGCATATACATTTAGGATTGCTTTGTCTTGGGGGATTGACCCTTTTATCTTTTATGATGTATCTCTCTATTCTGGTCATTTTCTTTGTTCTGAAATCTGTTACTTTACCTGATATTAATTAATATAGCCACTGCTGCTTAACTTTGATTAATGTTTGCATATTGTGTGTTTTCCCATCTTTTTACTTTAACTAGGCCTATATTGTTCTATTTGGAGTGAGTTTCTTGAAGATAGTATTGTATTTTTCTAAAATTTCCATCTGATTCTTTATATATTCTCTTTTTTGCTGAAGCTTTCTATTTTTTTTGTTTCAGACATGTTTGCAATTGCTCATTAAAACACTTTGTAATGGTGACTTTAAAATATTTATTAGGTAATACTAGCACCTCTGAAATTTCTTATTGGCAGCTATTGATTTTTAAAAATTCAGTTTGAGGCCTTTCTGGTTGTTGGTGTGGTGATTTTTGATCGAAACCTGGACATTTTCATATTGTATTATGAGACCTTGGATTTTATTTAACCTTCCCTTTTGGTTGACTTTCTCTGACACCACAATGGAAGGAGGTGAGGAAATCTACCTTGTTAATATCAGGTGGAGTAGATGTTGACACTTGAGTGGGAATGGCTCCTCATACTGCTGGGTGGGGTGGGGATTCTGGTTCCCCACATGGTCTCACTGACACTGCGGTAGGAGTGATCTAATTACCTTTGGTTGGTGGCAAAAGTATTGTTCTGCACTAGAGCCCCTCTGACATTCTCCCAGTGTGCTAGGGAGGGTGTTCATTACTGCTGGGTTGGGGAGAAAGTTCCCATCCTTCATGTGGTTTCTACTGATACGGTAGGGAGGTGGAGATTATATTACTGGCCAGCAGAGGTGAAAGTCTCAGCTTTCTACTTGACTTTCTTTGACAGCATTCTGGTGAAGATTTGGAGCAGCTCTTATGGGAGTTGGAATCTAGGCTTTCCTGTCAGCCTTTTCAAGTATGGCTTGGAGCAGAGTCACAGTTTTCTTAAAATTAATTAGTTAGTTCGACTGCACCAGTTTAGTTGTGCCATGTTGGATTTCTGATCTTCCTTGCAGCATGCAGGGTCTTTAGTTGTAGTGTGTGAACTCTTAGTTAAGCTCTGTAAGCAAGAGAGTGGCAGCATGTGGGATCTAGTTCCCTGACCAGGGCTTGTAACCAGGCTTCCTGCATTTGGAGCACAGAGTCTTAGCCACTGGACCACCAGGGAAATCTGAAGTCACAGTTTTTGTTGTGGTATTTGGCTAGAGTAGATAGGATAAAAGTTTTCCATTTCACTAGGCTGACCTTTTGTTCACCCCTTGATTGGTGAAAACAGACGTTCATTGGGACTGTATGTCTGTGGGCTTCCCCGCTGGCTCCGCAGTGAATAATCCACCAGCAATGCAGGAGATGTGGGTTTGGTCCCTGGGATGGGGAGATTCCCCTGGAGGAGGAAATGGCATCCCACTCCAGTATTCCTGCCTGAAAAATCCCATGGACAGATGACCTTGGTGGGCTACAGTCCAAAGGGTCACAAAGATGTAGACATGACTGAGTGTCTGAGCATTTTGTTGGTACCTGCTGATGTCATCAGGTTCTTGGGTTCTTCAGCTGCAAGTCTGGGATATATGAGGCAAAAAAAAAAAAAAAAAAAAAAAAACCCAAGGAACTCACCATCATGTTGTTCCTTGAGTTTTGATGTACTTAGCCAATCTGCTTTCTTCTCTCTGCCTTTCAGAATCTTCTGTTTATTTTATACATAGCCAGGATTTTGGGGGTGATTTTTAATATTGTAGTAGAGTTGATGTACAAGGTTATGTAATTGTACAGTATAGTGGTTCACAATTTTTAAAGGTTATAGTCCACTTATATAAAATATTAGCTATGTTCCATATATTGTATAATATATCTTTGTGGATATATATAATATATATTATATAATATACTCTGTCACTCGTATAGTATAGCCTTGTAGCTTATTTTGTGCGTAAGTTTATACCTCTTAATTTCCTGCCCCTATGTTGCCTCTCCCCTCTCCCTGCTAGTAACCACTAATTTGTTTTCTGTATCTGTGAGTCTGTGTCTTTTTTGTTATATTCACTGGTTTGTGTATTTTTTATTTTCCACATGTAAGTTATATGACCGTGGTGTTTGTTTTTATCTGTCTGGCTCATGTAATGCCCTCCAAGTTCATCCACATTGCTGCAAATGGCAAAATTTCATCCATTTTTATGACTGAGTAGCATTCCATTGTGTGTGTGTACATATATATATATATATATATATATATATATATATACACACACTACATTTTCTTTATCCATTAATCTGTTGATGAACACTTAGGTTGCTTCCATACCTTGGCTAGTGTAAATAAGGCTCCTATGAACATTGGGGTGCATGTATATTCTTGAATTAGTGTTTTTTTTTCTTTGTATATATATACTCAGTAGAATTGCTGAGTAATTCTCCTAGGGTAATTCTATTTTTAATTTTTTGAGACACCTCCATACTCTTTTTCCACAGTGGCTGCGCCAATTTACATTCCTACTAACAGTGTACAAGGTTTCCTTTTTCTCCACATCCTTGTTAACATTTGTTATTTGTAGACTTTTTGATGATAGTCATTCTGACAGGTGTGAGGTGATGTCTCATTGTGGTTTTGATTTGCATTTCTCTGATGATTAGCAATGTTGAGCGTCTTTTCATGTGCCAGTTGGCCGTCTGCATGTTCTCTTTGGAGAAATGTCTCTTTAGGTCTTTTTTATGTTGGATAGTATGAACTGTTTATATATTGTCATATCCAGGATTTCTAGTTGTGCCCAGTGGTAGGAATATGGAAAAGTACCTCTACTCCATTTTTCTGGAATAATGTGTCTTTTAATTCCTCCAAATAGATATATTTTACTAGGAAGTTAGGAGTTGTTGTGAACAAGAGTGAAATAGTTATGGGGAAAAGAAGAGAGTTTCACTGTGGTTTATTTATAGTGTTTTTGAATGTTTGAGAAGAGTAGAGGGAAACAGATTCTGCCACTCCTAAAAAAAGTGTGAGTACCAATTGAATATTGGTGCATTCATTCATTCACCATTCAGCACACATTTAGAAATCAACTGTATGCCTGGCAGTGTGATTGATGCTAGGAATATAGACAGGTAAGTTTCTTCTTGCCTGTTAGGAGCTCAAAAACTAGTCTGTCGAAGCCTGACATCCAAATAAGCAAATAATGGTAACATCTTATGGTAAGTAAACTGAGTATTGAAGGATGAGTTGAAGTTCTATAGGTGAACTGGAAAAAAGATAATGAAGGCAAAAGAAATGGCTTGCCTAAGAGCACAAAAGCATAGCATTTTTTGGATTTAGGAAAATGGCAAGCATCAATGTAGAAAGAATAAGGGGGTCATGTATGTGAGTATTAGTATTAGGCTAAAAATACAGGTTCGGTCAGACTGTAGAGGGCTTTAATATGGTATGTCATGACAAGGAAGTTTTACACTGTCTGCAGGCAATGGAGAATATACTTTAAGCTATTTGATTGAGCATTTTAAAATAATGATTTTTGTTATATTTATATATATTCAAATATATCCTTTAATATCCTTTTACATATGTGGATGCAAGACTTTGACAGTCTGACTTCTCTCTTTTCCTCCTACTTTGCCCTGTATGATCATCTGTGGCTAGAAATGGGGGAGTGAAATGTTCCCTTAAACATCAGAGTGATTTGTGTAAATGTAACAGATGCACAAGTGTAGCTCAGGATGAAGCTATTGTTTCAAACCTGTTCTCACAGACAGTTTCAGTTTTACTGGCTGGGTGTGTGACTATGTGTTTAAATACAGTAACACCCAGTATTAATCCTGATAATCACCTCACAATTCGTTTATCCCCTCAGTCATTTCAGTTTACTTACAAACAGTGGTCTTTCATAGATTCTAGTAGAGCTGTACACTGATAGGTCATATTAATTTTAGGAAATGAAAAATCCATATCTTCTCCGAGAATGGGAATGTATGATTTAGCTCATTTTGTTAAAATAGTTAAGATATTCTTTATCAGGCAGAGTGTTACATTAATTTTTCACTGTTTTCTTCTTAATCGTTCACATTTATGATCACTATTTCTTCGTGTCTTTAGGTATATTCTATTAGTATCTATAAATGTTTCCCCTCTTCTATAATAGCATATATTCAAACCTTATGGGATTCCTAATGTATTGGTGTATTTAAAAAAATTCCGTATACAATAACACTTTATTTTTATGCTGTCTAAATCTTTTATTTAAAGACATCTGGTATGCTTGGCTCGGCGGACAAAATATGACAGTGCTGAAAAGTAGTATTAGCAATTCTTATGACTTCTTACATATTTTAAGATGTTTATGGCAGAAATTACATACTGTGGTGGATAGAGTAGCAGACTAAGAAAAATTTATCACTGATATACATACAATTGCTTACTTGTTTGTGACTTTGGGAAGATCAGTAGCCTTTTCTGATTGAATGATTCTAATTTTAAACACAATTTTATAATTGTGAGGGAAGCAAAAATTTCCTGGAATATCTGTGTAATAAGAATACTGAGATTTTAAACATAGTTCTTGTTTTTTAAATTTAGCATATGATATTGCTACCATTAATGTTCCTGAAGTGGCTCACTTGAGTTCAGTTTTCTTGTAATGATTAAAAACATGCTCTTGATATAGTCAGTGGAAACTTTTTGGCTTGAATTTCTGAATGAATTATCAATGAAGATATAATACTCACCCTTACTTTTCCTTGTTAGATAAGTTCTTTAGATATTAAAACTGAATTAGTGTTAAACTAAATTTGAGACATTGTTGTAAAGTTCAATTATGTTTTGCTGCTTACAGTTTTAGTTCAGAAATATTAATTGACTGCACCCTACCTCCGTAATGAGACCATGACAGATCATGCTATCTATCAGATAAACACGTAGGAACCAGCTCATAGTATCAGATACGCTCATAGAACCAGCTCATAGTATCAGATACGCGTGGGAACCAGCTCATAGTATCAGATACGCGTAGGAACCAGCTCATAGTATCAGATACGCTCATAGAACCAGCTCATAGTATCAGATACGCTTATAGAACCAGCTCATAGTATCAGATATGCTCATAGAACCACCTCATAGTCTGTGACGTTTCAGCTTGTGTGTACTGTCTTCTGCTGGGTGGAAAACGTTCTCCCAGCTCAAATGAGTCAGCCACCTTGCTGCCTTACTAGTGACTTATTTTGCTTAAACTTTGAAAGTCTTTGTGTTATATTTGCTAAGGATAGAATGAAGAAAGTTCCACTCACCAAGCCAGATTCCCTCACATATAAATGATTCTGGGAAGTTCTTTGATTGTAGAATAATTAATTTTGCTATAAAAATTTTGCAGTTATCTGGGACACTGGTTAAAAAGAGGAACTTGAGTTACTATGGTAATGTCTATAATTTACATATATTTATGTATCTCTTATTGAAGCCAAAGGTCAAGATTCAGTCAAACCAGGGAACTCAGCAAGTCATGACCAACTGGCATTTTTTGTATGGTGAGCGGCCTTGTGATTTCTGTGCATTTCTTTTTAGGACTGAAGTTACTTAAAAGTTGTGCATGCTTGGTAGAGGTGCATAAGAAGAAGAATGCTGGAATTTGATCTAATTCACTATACACATGCCAGATATACTTTGCTTTCCTGAAAAAGTTGTACTATCTTTTCTCCTTCTCTAAATCTGTTGCCTTTCTAAGCATGATACCAAAGGCAAATATCCTGAGAAAAGGGTGATAGATTTTAAGACAAAATTTTAAAGTTTCTGTCAGCCAGAATCCACTATAAACAAGATCAAAAGGCAACTGACAACTGGGGACAATGAGTGCAATACATATGGTGAACAAAGAGTTAAAATAAAAAAGCATGTAGTACATGTTAGGTCATCATTTCATCTGGAGAGCTAGGTACTGTTGTTATCTTTATGTTATTGATGAGGAAATTGAAGTCTGGAGACGTCTTACTGTTAGTGATAGATTAAGGCTTCAAAACTCAGGCAGTTGTAGCCTGAGCTTATGCTGTTAGCTATTATATTACCTGGCCTCCACTCCTGTAGATATCCAGAGACATGAACAGGCAATTCACAAAGACATCCAGTAGCCAGTAAACATGTAAAACATATTTATTTTTTAAAGAAGTCAAGTAAGTGCAAGTGAAAATAAGAAGGTACTTTTGTATATGAAACTGTAACAGAGACGAAAAAATTATTATGCTCATTATTGGCAAGATATAGAAAAACCACACTATTGACAAATCCTTTCATTGGGAAAATTACCTAAAAAATTCTTTAAAATTCTATAAAGTTTTAACATTACAATTCAATTTTTAGTTCTTTGAGAAAATAATTGTGTATGTATGAGGTTTGGTTTCAGGACATGAACACAATATTTGTTTATGATAGCTACACACTGGAGTCAGCCAAAATGCCCAACAATACAGTGGTTAAAAAAATTATATATATATATATATAGTATTAAGAGGAAAACCAGGTCATTAAATCATGAGGATTCCATTTAGAACATGTAAATTTTACATTAATAAAAGGCTGGAAAATTTAGAACAAAATATTGGTAGTGATTATCTCCAATTAGTGGGACTACAAGTTGGTATTTTAAAATTTTCTAAAATTTCCATAATTTAAAATTTTTGATTTATATTGAGGTTTGACAGAAAACAACAAAATTCTGTAAAACAATTATCCTTCAATAAAAAATTAATAAATTAAAAAAAAGAGCTACTATGAAATTTCCTTTAAATTACCTATTTTTAAGATTTTAAAAAACATAGCCACAGATTTGCAAAATGGAAATTTTGGTCTCTCTATTTTTTAAGTTCTGATTAACAATACATCTGGATCATTATTTTGGTCTTAAAATTGATAGTTATCAGTAATGTTATTCCCAAGTAAGCTTGAATGATGTTATCTTATTTGTAATTTCAATGTGAAGTTTTCTTTATCTCATTTGTTGGCCAAATTTTTCTTTTTTTCTTTTCTTTAATCTCTCCACGTTCATATTTGCCTTTCTATTACTATTTTTTTCCAGTGTATTTTCTACTTTTTAAAAATACCTCTCTTGTTTTTAATATTTGTTCTTTCGTAACACACTGTTCTATTGTTCATTTTTCCAATCCTCCTTTTCCCCATGCGGTGAAAATTTTGCAAATTTGGTGTGAAATTTGTTGTGATGAATAGAAAATGCCTACTTGGTTATTTTATCATTAATTATTAAATGTGATTAAGATTATAGAACCTAATTCTCAATAATTGATGTTTAAATTTCAGCATTTGTTTATAAAATTGCATCAGTGTTTTTATTTTCTGTTAATGTGTGATTTATTTGTTAGGTCTTGTTCCTGAATAGCTGGATTTTTTTCTTCTCTGAGAAAGTGACCTGTCTTCCCTCTCCTTTCAGTAAGTCAGTTCTGATTTATTTGGAGTCATGGCACAGTACTAGATGATTCAAGCAGAGGAAGAAAAAAAGATCTGTGGCACTTTATTTTCCACTTTCCCCTGATAAAAGTCCTAAAGGTATCTAATATATGCTGTTTTGCATTTTGCTCATATGTGTCAGGCAGAGTAAAGTGGGCAGGGATTAGAGACCTTTATATTGAAAGGAATTATTTTGAGGCTGCTGTGACAAATCCGGTGGCTTTGATTTGCTGCAATTCTATAATTTGAACACTAAGTGGCACTAAAGCCTAGGTCACAGATAAAATATTGTCGATTTAAATTATAAGATTCAGGGGTCTCTTGATAGGTATGGCTTTAGGAAAATGCAAAAGGATCAATGAAAGGTACTTTGAGCTAAAAAAAAAGATAAAAAGTTAGTTAGATAATCAAGTTATTTTTGGGAACTAGAAGTTTACCACCTCTATTGTTGTTTGAATATATTTGAAAGCAGAAAATAAACTTGTTAAAGTGACCAAAGATGATTTACCTCCCTGCAACCTATTCTTGATTATTTCCCCTTTTTCTTTGCAGAAGGGAAGTGAGTCTATACTTACAAGAAAGTTGCAGACAGAGTGCTCCCTTATGTATGTTGTTAATCTATTCATCCACAGGTGGCAATATTCACAGTAAACACTACTTCTGAGCTCAAGCATCTTTAGAGACTATTTAGTTATACCAATAAATGTATGTTTGTACATTTGATTGAATCTGGGATATATCAGTGTCATCCCAGTAAGAAAAAAATCAGAATTTATTTTGGAGGGGAAGAAAATTATACTTGTTTTGTTACTTCTCTAAGCATTAAATTCTTAATTTTTTTTTCTGCTAACATTCCACTGGTTTAAATACTCTCCCCAGAAAAAAGGCATATTCTTATCTCTTAAGTTTTTTTTCTAGCATGTATTGGACTTCTGGCTGTATCTATTTTCATTATTTCAAAATTATTTTTTAAAAATTATTTTCTCTAAAATTGCAACACATATATTTTACAGTCTCTTTAGGGTTAATATTTTACTAATTCATCTGAATGATAAGAATTTTGCATCATAATCCATTTACCTACCTTTTATCATTATTATTGTAATTGTTACTTATCTTTTATAGAAATTAAGAGGAAAGAGCAATTTTTATATTAAGTCTGATATTTTCTATTTCTAATATTCTTAATGCTTTTACAAATATCTGATTTCCTCTCTGGTGTCCTTTCTCTTCAGCCTGAAGAATTTCCTTTATCATTGCTTGTTGTTCAGGCATCTTGACAATAAAATTTCATGTTTTTCTTTTGTCTGAAGATGTCTTCATTTTGTCTTTATTCTTAAAGAATATGTTCACTGGGTATACAATTTTGGGTTGGCATTTTTTCCTTTTAGAATTTTCCTGTGTTGTTCTACTGTCTTCTGATAACCATAATTTCTGATGAGAAGTGTGTTCGTGTAAGTCCTTGTTCCTGTGTAAGTACTTTGTCATTTTTTTCCTGAGTACTTTTAATACTCTTCTCTTTATATTTGGTTTTCATGTTTTTGATCATACTGTGCTTAGACTTTTATTGCTAAGTTACTGAAACTGTACATTTACATCTTTCACCATAGATGAGAGATTTTGGGCCATTATTTCTTCCATTTATTTTGAAAGGGAGTGCACCAATTTTATTTTTCTTTCTGGTGTCTGGGTCTTGGATTCTGTTTTCACCTTTTAGTCTTTTTGATATTTTCCCACAGAGCTCTTTAAAGACCAGGTCACATATTATTTATTTTATCTTAGAGGTAGTGTTCCCTCATCTGAGCTTCAATTATTATTTGTTTATTGTAACATTCATAGTTAGTTAATCACATATGTCTTTCTGCCCAGCAGGATTTTGCACTACATTAACCAGGAACTGATTCACAGATTTATTTATTTATTTATTTATTTTCACAGATTTAACATTTATGGTATTTTGCATAATAAGTATTTTGAAATAAAAAAAGTAGTGAAATTCCCTTATATATAACTTAATTGTGTTTATTGTCTTCTGGTTTCTAGTTCTAGTATTTGATTGTAGCAAACAGTATCTTGGTAAAGAAAAGAATATAAAAATGTTCATGTATATTAAGCTCTAATTACAAGGGTAACATCATTTTTATATTTTCATATAATATATGATTAGTTTTTTCAGCTATTTTATTTTCTTTTTAAATGGTGTTAAAATATACATAATATAACAATTACCATCTTAACTATTTTTAAGTGTACACGTCGATGGTAATAAATACATTTACATTGTTGTATAGTCAATACCACCATCCATCCCCATAATTCTTTTCATCTTGTAAAACTGAAATCTATATCTATTAAACAGTAACTCTCCGTTCACTGCTTTCCCCAACTCTTGATAACCACCACTGTACTTTCTATCATTATGATTTTGACTGAGTATTTCATATAAGAGAATTAATATATAATTTGTCTTTTTGTGTTTCACTTATTTCACTTAGGATGATGGTCTCAAGGTTCATACATATTGCAGATCGTACATATTGATAGGCCATCAATAAAAATGTGTGTGAAGTGAGATTTCATTATATTTTGATTTGCATTTTCCAAATGATTAGTGATGTAAGCATCTTTTCATGAGCTTATTAACCATTTGTATATTTTCTTTGGAGAAATGTCTACTCAGGTCTTTTGCACTTTTCTGAATTGGCTTGTTTGGTTTACTTGTTAAATTTTAGGAGTTCTCTATGTATTCTGAATATTGATCCCATATTGGATACATGATTTACAAATATCTTCTACTATTCTATAGGTTGCCTTTTTACTCTCTGTGAGTGAAGTCTGTCAGTCGTGTCTGACTCTTTGTGACCTCATGGACTGTAGCCTACTCGGCTCCTCCATCCATGGGATTTTTCCAGGCAAGAATACTGGAGTGGGTTGCCATTGCTATTTCTGCAAAAACATTGGGATTTTAAGAAATTGCAGTGTATTTTATTGACAATGTCATGTTCATTTTAGGTGCACAACAAGGTGATTCAGCTGCATATATTCTTTTTCAGATTCTTTTCCATTTTAAGTTATTACAAAGTATTGAATATAATTCTCTGTGCTATTCAATTGGTCCTTGTGGTTTATCTATTTTATATACAGTAGTATCTGTTAATACCACATTCCTAATTTATACCTTACTACCTTCCCCCTTTGATAACCATAAATTTGTTTTCTATGTCTGTGAGTCTGTTTCTGTTTTGTAAATAAGTCCTTTTGTAAAATTTTTATGATTTCACATAAAAATGATATCATATGGTATTTGTTTGACTTACTTAGTATGATAATATCTAGGTCTATCCATGTTATTGCAAATAGCATTATTTTGTTCTTTTTTGTGACTGAGTAGTATCCTATTATGTATATGTACCACACCTTCTTTATCTATCCATCTGTTGATGGGCATTTAGGTTGCTTTCATGTCTGGGCTATTGTAAATTTTGCTTCTGTGAACGTTGGGGTGCACATATCTATTCAAATCTTTTCCAGGTATAGACTCAGGAGTAGGATTGCTGCACCAAATGATAGCTCTATTTTTAGTTTTTTGAGAAATGTTCATACTGTTTTCCATAGTGGCTGCACCAATTTACATCCCCACTAACAGTGTAAGCTCTGATACTTTGGCCCCCTGATGCGAAGAGCCAACTCATTAGAAAAGACCCTGATTTTGGGAAAGATTGAAGGCAGGAAGAGAAGGGGATGTCAGAGGATGAGATGGTTGGAGGGCGTCACCAGCTCAATGGACATGAGTTTGAGTAAGCTCCAGGAGATGGTGAAGGACAGGGAAGCCTGGCGTGCTGCAGTCCATGGGGTTGCAAAGAGTTGGACATGACTGAGTGATGACTGAACAGCAGCAGCAGCAACAACAACAGTAATAACCATATAAGAGGGTTTCCTTTTCTCTACACCCTCTCCAGCACTTATTATTTGTAAAGTTTTGATGATGGCCATTCTGACTGGTTTGGGTGATATTTCATTGTAGTTTTGATTTGCATTTCTCTAATAAGTAGCGATGTTGAGCACTTTTTCATGTGCCTCTTGGCTATCTGTATGTCTTCTTTGGAGAAATGTATATTTAGGTCCTCTGCCCACTTTAAAAAACATTTATTTATTTATTTGATTGTGCCAGGTCTCGGTTGTGGCATGTGGAATCTTTTAGTTTGGCATGTGAGATTTAGTTCCCTGACCAAGGATTGAATTCAGGTCCCCTGCATTGGGAGCACAGAATCTTAACCATGATTGGGTTGTTCGGATTTTTTTTTTTTTTAATTTTGTCTGACATTACTATAGCCATTCCTGTTCTGTTTTGTTGCTATTTGCATGAAATATCTTTTTTCATTCTTTCACTTTCAACCTGTTTGTGTCTTCAGATCTCAGGTGAGTCTCTTGTAGAAAGCATATAGTTGAATTGTATGTTTTTATCCATTTCCCAGTCTCTGTCTTTTGAGTAGGGTATTTAGTTCATTTACATTTAATTATAGAAGAAGGTGTAATCCAGAGTAAAATGTGATTAAAAGTAGAAGTAGCTTTCTTAGTTCCCATGAGAAACTTTTGAGTGTACTGGGGCAGGGGTGAGTCATTTTATTTCGATATTAACGGAAAGGATGCATGAAGTTGGAGCACTTAGGGATATCCGAATTACAAATGAAAGAATGAGTTACCTATTGGGGTAAGTGCAGGAAAACTTTTGGAATGGTTAAGTGTCTGTGGAAGGTTGTGGAGAAAACATCTAGAATGACTCAGAGTAATGGTAAATTCCAGCTGATTACAAGTATTAAATCCATAGGTTCAAGCTGGAGGCTATAAATGAAAGGAAGGATTTTCTGCTTTTAAAAGTATTTTCAAGCTCACAGCAAACATTATTCTCAGTGGTGAAAAACTGAAAGCATTTCCTCTAAGATCAGGAATAAGACAAGGATGTCCACTCTCACCACTATTCTTCAACATAGTTTTGGAAGTCCTAGCTACAGCAATTAGAGAAAAAAAGCAAATAAAAGGAATCCAGATCAGAAAAGAAGAAGTAAAACTCTCACTGTTTGCAGATGACATGATACTATACATAGAA